CTACGGAAAGTGCTTCTGTGGGGCAGGCTGCATTCTATCTCTTCATCTGGATGGCACTCCCATCCATGTTCAGTCAATAAATATTATTTAAATGACACCCATTTTTATGAATTCTTCTTTGTTATATTTTACAATGTTGTTGTTTTCGTTATGTGCCATTGAGTTGGACTGGACCCACAGCGACCCCTCCTTGGGTTTCTGAGGCGGTATCCCTACAGATGGTAGGAGAGCAGTCAAGTCAAGCCACTATGCTACCAGAGCTCCCAATGAATAGTATATAATCACAAGAAAGAAGAAAGACTCAAGCTGAAGATGCAATTTAAGAGAAAGGTCAGGTCAAACATTAGTTTCAACTGTTCTTTTTGACATGCAAATAATGGTAAATACATGCAGTTCAAGCTAATGAAAGGAAAACATTGCATTTAGCTAGAAGGCTGTTACACATTATCTTTTCAAAAGCAGTGTCTTAAAAACGATGATGCACAACCAGATTAGAAGGTGTGAAGTGTTATTGAGTGGTGATATTTTAGAAAATATCTTCTTAAAAGAGAGGTGAAAACAGTGAGACAAAAGTGGTAAATCCTTGGACAATGGATTGGTTATTTTAAATCTTATTTGATGATACCTCACAGTGATGCAAAGGTTAATGCTCTCAGCTGTTAACTGAAAAGTTGGGGTTTGTAGTCCAACCTGAAACACCTCACAAGAAACATTTGGCGATCCACTTCAGAAATCAGACATTGAAAACTCTAAGGTCACAGTTATAGGGACACACACAAGGTGGCCATGAGTCACAGTCAGAGTGGACTCAATGGCAATTGTTCAGTGCTAGGCATTGATGTTTCAGGGTTAGATTTCTTGCCTTCCTTGTAGGAGACTCAGGTTCGATACCTGGCCAGTGCACCTCATGTGCGGCCACAAGTCATCTGTCAGTGGAAGATCGCCTATTGCGATGATGCTGAATAAGTTTCAGGGGACCTTAGAGACTAAGCTGGGAAAAAAGGCCTGATCATCTAACTTCCAAAATCAGCCAATGAAAGCCCTGTATATCACAATGATCTGACCTGCAACAGATCGTGGGGAAAGCACACAACCTGGCTCTGTTTAGATCAGTGTTCATTAGGTCTCCATGACTTGAGTACTGACTGGAAGGCAGCTAATGTAATAACCACCTTGAAAGGAAGGCAAGATTTCAACTTCACCCAATCATAAAATATAGTAGTTTTATTCTTTTGTTATAGATAACTTAATTATCATAGTATAGTCATTTTCTAAATTTAGTGTGTTTCAAAATTACCTAAAGAGCTTGTTGTTGTATATGCCATTGAGTCAGACCCAACTCATAGCAGCCCCTCTTTGGGTTTCCGAAGCGGGTAGATTGCCAAACCTTCCTTGTGAGGAGTGGCTGGTGGGTTTGAACCGATAGCCTTCTGGTTGCCTTCTTGTTAGCAGTCAAATGCCTTAGGCACTATGCTACCTAGAGAGCTAATGGCCACTAAACCAGACTCATTAAAGTAGGGTAGAGCTTCCTGGGTCTTTGAAGTTTTGCCAAGTTACCATGTGGTATATAAAAAAACGAAACAAACAAACAAAAAAAAAAAACAGTGCCATACTCCAAAATGAACAAGCATGAAAATTATGTGTGTCAGTGGATAGCAATGAAAAGGCAGTGTTATAAAAAACTCTTTTATTTATTATATATTTATTTATTTTAGATACAGCAGTTCTGGTGGCACAATGCCTAAGGCATTTGACTGCTAACCAGAAGACCAGCAGTTCAAACCCACCAGCCACTCCTCAGAAGGAAGGTTGGGCAATCCTACTTCCGTAGTAATACTGCCTCGGAAACCCAAGGAGGGGTCGCTATGAGTCGGGGCCGACTTGACGGCAAACAACAACAACAACAACAACTGCCTTGGAAAGCCAAGGAAGGGTCACTATAAGTCTCATCAAACTCCACAGCAGTGACTAAGTCTTCTCAAGTTCTATGCATGTGGATATACAACATCTGTGTAGTCTTCCAAAATCATTGTTGTTGTTGTTGTGTGCCGTCAAGTCGGCCCCGACTCATAGCGACCCCTCCTTGGGTTTGCGAGGCAGTATCACTACGGAAGTAGGATTGCCCAACCTTCCTTAGCTTCTATATTAATTTTTAATACAATGACACTAGCATTTCAAATAAAGACATAAAACTGATAATGTTTTGATTTCAACTTGTGAGTGCAGAAAAATGATGGGAAGTGACAGGATATCAGACTGCTTATGAAATCATGTACATAAATGTTTTCTTTTAGTCCTGTGGCTAAATTAAATGGACCAAGTATATTCAGAGCATCAAATCAATTGAAAAAAGAAATTTGTGGGAGTGGAAAAGGCTATACATATAAACACTCAGAGACAACAATTTTGAGTAAAACTTCCCCAGATCAACTATGAAGCACACATCAGAGTTGAAGTCAGATATGTATTCACAAGGTTCATTGTGATGTCCAGGAAGAAAATCTATGTTATTTGCATTAATTTCATTTCATGGTAATGTCATTTGTTAACATGATTTTACATACCATTTTTTAAAATTTCCAATCTAAATTTTATAAACAGATTGGCCTGAAGTTATGAGTCAGTAATGAGAAACCACACAAGGCTAATGACATTCATCCTACTGGGATTGACAGATAACCCACAACTGCAAGTTCTGATATTTATCTTTCTGCTTGTCACTTATATGTTGAGTGTCACTGGAAATCTGACAATCATCTCCCTTACCTTTGTGAGTTCTCAACTTAAATCTGCCATGTACTTTTTCCTCCAAAATTTCTCCTTCTTGGAAATCTCATTCACTACAGTCTGTATTCCCAGATTCCTTTACAGTATGTCTACTGGAGACAATACCATTACTTATAATGCTTGTGCTAGTCAACTATTTTTTATCATTCTTTTTGGTGCAACAGAATTTTTTCTCCTGGCCATCATGTCCTATGACCGCTATGTAGCTATCTGTAAACCCTTGCATTATGTGACCATGATGAGCAGCAAAGTTTGCAGAAGGTTGGTTTTCTTTTGTTGGATTGGTGGTTTGTTAATCATAACTCCTCCACTCAGCCTAGGCTTAAATCTGGAATTCTGTGACTCAAATATCATTGACCATTTTTTCTGTGATGCATCTCCTATTCTAAAGATCTCTTGTTCAGACACATGGTTCATTGAGCAGATGGTTATAGCTTGTGCTGTAATGACCTTCATCATGACCCTTGTGTGTGTAGTTCTTTCTTACGTATATATCATTAACACGATACTAAAATTTCCCTCTGCCCAGCAAAGGAAAAAGGCTTTTTCTACATGTTCTTCCCACATGATTGTTGTATCTATCACCTATGGAAGCTGTATCTTCATTTATATTAAACCTTCTGCAAAAGAAGAAGTGGACATCAATAAGGGTGTGTCAGTACTCACTACTTCCATTGCTCCAATGTTAAACCCATTTATATATACCCTGAGAAATCAACAAGTGAAACAAGCTTTGAATGACTCAATCAAAAGGATTGCATTTTTCTCAAAAAAATAGAGAAATAATGAAATTGCAGGTTTACGTTAACAGGAGTGTTTGATGTAGTGATTATAGAATTTGAGCAGATTAGCAAAATGTTTGATGTTTCTTGATATAAATGCAGAAAATGATAGTAAGTTTTTAGAAACATTAAGAGAAATTTGAAAGAGTTAATGTTTGTTGAAATTATTAACAAAAAAAATTGAGCTTGTGTTTTTATGTGTTTTGTTTCCTTTTGAGAAATTCATTTTCATTGCATTGTACAATAAATTTGGAGGGAGGATTATTCATCCATCACAAATAAATGAAGAAACACTTGGTTAGTGAGTCTTATATCTCTAAATTATTGTATATTTTTGCAGTCATCATTAAACTCACATAGACTGTTTAAAAACATTATTGGTCTTGCAGCTAAGACCTGTCCTTACTAGTTCTTTGTGCCCCCTCCTTGCAAAACATTTTTGCTAGGGTGACATTTCTCATAAAGGGATTTTCCAGGGAAACAAGTCAGATTTTACCTCTAAACCATTGTTACCATTCAGCAAACAAATCAGCGGTGTATAAATTGTGTGATGCAGACACACACACACACACATACACACAACACACTCACACAGTTTTTATTCACTTATCTCTCAGTACCATGCTGATAATAAGTGAAATTAAAAAAAAAATCTGAAAAATTAAACCTTGCAAATTAAAAGCACTTTATTAATCAAGTGGGAGATTAGTATGTGAGGGAACTGAATACAACATGCTGAGTGGGAATTTGTAATAAATATGGACCTCTTTTGGGACAAAGCAAGGCAAGCACTAAAACATGGTTTGAGACAAAAATTTTAAAAAAGTAGTTATACTATGCACACAGAGGAAAACAAATCCCAATATAATTAAACCTGAAAAATATCTGGAAAACTCAGGTTATACAACAGGATACAAATAATGAAAACTACCATACTAAAAATATTTCATTTTACTCAAAATCAATAGCATAAAGTTTGAATAATAAAAAGTATGAGCCATAGTGTTTATTCTTAAATAATATCTTTACACTCCTTATCGTTTTCTCCACCACTGTTCATACTTCTCTCCCTAGTCATCTTGATCCAGGCATATGGAATGTTTTTGTGTCTCTAATCTTTCATGTCTACATCCTTGTTCATGTTGTATGTCCTTTGGAAATGTTTTTCATTTCACTTTAGATAAATCCTATGCATCTTTTGGATGTCAGTATACATGCCATTTAAGTCTTTACTTGACCCCTTCCCAAATCTATGTCTTATTACACATATACAACATGAGTGGTAACAC